CTTTTGAATTACTGTTTCAGTTTCTTTGGCTATATTCCCAGAAGTGGAATCTCTGGGTCATAAGGCAATTCCATTTTTAATTTTTTGAGGAACCTCCACACTGTTTTTCATAGTGGTTGCACCAATCTGCATTCCCACCAACAGTACACAGGGGCCTCCTTTTCTCCACATTCTTGCCAGCACTTGTGTCTTGGTTTATTGATGATAGCCATTCTGACAGGTATGAGACGGTATCTCATTGTGGTTTTAATTTGCATTTTTCTGATGGTTAGTGATGTTGTGCAACTTTTCATATGTCCATCAGCCATCTGTGTGTCTTCCTTGGAGAAATGCGCGTGCACACGCTGCGCGCGCACACACACACACACACACCCACACCCACACACACACACACACTCCACATATCCTCACCCCGAGGATGTGTTTATTGATTTTTAGAGAGGGAAGAAGGGAGTGGGAGAAAAACATTGATGTGAGAGAGAAACATCAATTTGTTGTCTCCCCCTATGTGCCCTGACTGGGCATTGAACCTGCGAATTTTTTGGTGTACAGGGCGACGCTCCAACCAACTGAGCCACCTGGCCATGGTGAGAAGTGTCTATATTTGACAAAGGAGACAAAAACACAATGGGGTAAAGACAGTTTATTCAATAAATGGTGCTGGAAAAGTTGGACATATACAAGCAAGAAAATGAAAGTAGACAACTTCTTATACCATATACAGTAATAAACTCAAAATCAACCAAACACTTAAATGTATGACTGAAAGCCAGAAAACTTTTGGGAGAAAACGTAAGCAGTAAAATCCTGACATTTCTCTTAGCAATATTTGTTTTTCCTGATATATCTCCTTGGGCATAGGAGACAAAAGAAAAAAATAAACAAATGGGACTATATTTAACTAAAAAAGTTTTTTTCACAGCAAAGGAAGCCATCAACAAAATGGAAAAAATACCCACTGAATGGGAGAAGATATTCGCCAATGGTACATCAGATAAAGGGTTAATACCCAAAATTTATAAAGAGCTCAGACAACACCTGAATAATACACAACCCAATGAAAAAGTGGGTAGGCCCTGGCCAGTGTGGCCCAGTTGGTTGGAGCAGCGCCCTGTCACCAAAAAGCGTTCGATTTCCAGTCAGGGCACATGCCTGGGTTGTGGGTTTGATGTCCAGTCAGGGTGCAGGCACGTGGGTCTGGGCATGTCTGTGAGGCAGCCAATTGATGCTTCTCTCTGGCATCGACGTTTCTCTCTCTTCTATCGACGTTTCTCTCTCTTCCTTCCTCTCTGAAAGCAATAAAAAAAAAAAAAAAAGGCCATTGGTGAGGGTTAAAAAAAAAATTAAAGTGGATAGAAGACCTGAATAGACTCGTCTCCATTTGAGGTAACTTTTGCATATAGTATGTCAACAAAAGTTTGCTGCCTCTAATCTAGTGCCAACAAGAGTCCTCAATCTAGGGTGCGGGGGAAAAAGAAGAGACTTTATTCAGGTGAACAATTTGCAAACCGAGGAAACCTAGCCTCGGGGAAAAACAGGAGGCAATGTCCTCACACACACAAACAGGCACGCACCCGCACACACATGCGCGCGCGCGCACACACACACACACACACACACACACACACACACACATGGGGGGGGGCTCCTATATAAAGTGCCTGCCCTGGTCCCTGATAGGTCCATTTTTATGCACAGGAGGAACTCAAATTTGTACACTTGTATTGGTCCAAATAACCCTGTCCCGATTGATCCAAATAGCAATGCTCTGATTGGTTGGAATTGGGTGTCCTGAGTAGTCACTGTGAAGCTGCCCTGATTGGTTGGTAAAGATGCAAATGAGAATATAAAGGGGTAGTTCTCAGTCCATTCTTCACAATACAGTTCCGGTAACTCCTTTATAAGGGTTGACTCAGCATTCAGGAGACTGGTAGCTCCTTCTGTTGCTTTTCCCCAAAATAACACTGTACATGAGAGGCCTCTGCCAGAAACATCTGCTAGACTCTTGATTTTTGAGCCCAATTAACCACAAGGAGTCCTTCTAGCAGGTATATTCCTTATTGGAGTCAACAGGTGTAAGGTAAGGGTCTACCTTCATTGTTTTGTATGTGGATGTACAGTTTTCCTAGCACCATTCGTTGAAGAGACTGTCTTTTCCGTTGCACGGTCTTGGCACTCTTATTGAAAACCATTTGACTATATATACAGTCCATGACTACTTTACAACTATTGTCAGAAAAACTACACCGCTAAACTGAAAAAAAAAAACACACTAAAATAGGCACAATTGGAAAACACCGGGTTCAAAAGGAGGAGAGTTGGCCACATTCATGACCTGATGACCTGACCTTGCTTTGCTTTTTATAGTATGACACTTCCAGACTTCAATGATATCGTGTGTTCATAGACTGCTTATCTTTCACCCAGAGAAAGGGAGATCACTTTCTCTTTTAAAAAGAACAAGCGAAATAAGCCAGGGGGCGAAAGACAAATACCATATGATCTCACCCATAAGCGGAACCTAACCAACAATGCAAAGAAGCAAGGAAAATATGACCAGCAACACTGAAAGGAAAAGAAATCAACAGAGACAAGAGGGAAGGGGGGGCAGGGAAAGGGAAGGGAAGGGGAAAGTCAAGGAACATATAGCAAGGACTCATGGACAAAACCAAAGGGGAAGAGCTGAGGGAGGGAAGGTGGGAGGGGGCAAGGGAAAGAGGTGGGGGGGAAGGCAGAGACAAATGTATTTAAAAAGTAAATAAATTAATTAAAAAAAAATAAAATAAAAAGAACAGCTTAGAGCCCACTCTGCCCCCCGCCCTTGCTGGAGACCAGGGATTGGAGAATCCATGTTGACCAAATGCACCAGCACAAAAGTGGAATTGAATCTGCTCTAAAGGAGACCAAGGGACTTTTGGACAACCTCCATAATGAAATTAGTAGGACTCTGGAAAAGATCGGCAACTGAGAAAAACACATCAACAATCAGGTTGAGCACTTGGTTTAAGAATATCATGCAGCTCAAGCTCAGCTGAGTGAAGCAAGGGGAGCGATACCAGCAAGGAAATGGTGGAGTGACTGAAAGGACAAGACTGCTCTCTGAGGTTACCGAAGAACTAGAAAAAGTAAAGCAAGAAATGGAAGAAAAAGGTAAGCAGTATGACTGATGGTGCTCCTTTGGTGAAGATTAAACAGAGCTTAACAAAGCTGAAGCAAGAAACCGTTCAGACGGATGTTAGAATCGGTGTTGTGGAACACACATTACTCCAGTCAAAGCTGAAGGAGAAGTCCAACATGACTAGGGACATGCATGCAACAATCATTCCAGAATCTGCAATGGGTTCTTATTAAAACATACTGGGTTTTTTTGTGTGTGCTTCTGATTAGTTCTTTTTTCTTAATATCAAATCATATTTCATGTTGCATATTTCAAAGCACAATTATACCTCTAAAAGCATGTTCAATGGTTATTTTTATATACATGCACATATTGTATCATGGTGATTATGAATTGGCTAAAGCCTTAAAATGAATATAATATTCAATAAAGTAATTAAAAATTCTCACTTTCAAAGAAGCTTTCACTAATCATTACATATATTAAATGTAATGTTAACCCACAAAAAATAATTTAAAAAATAGAAAGAACAGCTTAGAGCAGAGAAAAGGGAATCCATGGTTAAGGTAGAAGGACAAATGAAAAAAAAAGTTCCAGGTCGATACCTAATAATTTTATCTGCCTAATTTTTATCCAGAAATATTGCATGATGATATATATTCAAGTAAATCCTTAATACTTAATCAAAGTGACCAACAAATGTGGTTATTCTTCTTAATGGAACTTTCTGATAAATTGAAATTTAACAAGAAACCCATGTTTTTGTGTATTTCCATCTTTGCCATTGAAATAATTGTGAAAATATTCATTAGTACATTTTCCTCTCAGAGTCCAGCAAATGGAATTCAATGTTTGATGTGATGATTGTGCATAGACCAAACTGACAGAGACTTTGGTTTGAATTCTAACATGACCATTTTATCAGCTGTGTTATTTTGGGCAGGTTATTTAACCTCTTTGTGTCTTAGTTTCCTCATCTGCAAAATATCGATAATTGTAATTCATGCATATTGCTCAGCAGAGTCCATCCGAAAATTTTAGCCGTTACCGTTATCACTGTTTATTATTTATTGCACGTTTGGTACATCAGAAAATTTTAGAATTACATCAGTGAAATAAAGTTTCAGTGGGATGCTATGAGTTATGAAGGTTCTTTTCAAATGAGTGGCCCATACCTCAGGCCTATAGGGATTCAGGGAGGGGACGCAACAGCTGGGTAGGCAGGATTGAGAAAGGGATGAGTGGTGAAAGGAGGAGGAAGCGGCAAGATAGAAGCAGGCAAGCCCCGAATGATTCAGCTAGATGAACAAGAGGCACAGGAACAGCACAGGCAAAGATGTAAGGTCAGGAATCAGCATTGCGTGTTCTGAGGATCCACTGTCAGACTGTAGTGTCACAGACTCATCATTCCAGAGATCAAATTGTTGCTACAGCAGTAACAGGAAAAGATGTAGGCGATTAGACTGAATGTGCGCTGACTGACCCCTGAGCCTTCTTCTAAATGGTTATACAAAGCACAACACAATGAAAACAACAGGAAAAAGTTAAAATAAAAAGGACTTTTAAAAAGGAAAAGGGAAAAAGGCTTTCCTGGCAATTTGCTTTTTTTTTCCTGCAATAAATACATAATCCTGATAAACTGAAGCCCCTGCAAACGTGACTTTATTTGAGATATCAGTGTATCCTATCATAAGGCTTATCAGTTGTGTGGGAGATCAAAATATGCTTGTGCAGATGTCCCTGAATATTGTGAGGGGGGCTATTAATAGAGTTATTTAAAATACCATTTGACTCCCCCAACCCCCTCCTACTAAGGTGCCCACCTGGGGGCGCCCTGCCAGCCCAGTGATCCTGCCACAAGTCTGGCCCAGACCTCACCAAGATGCCATCTCAAATGGAACACACCATGGAAACTATGATGTTCATGTGTCACAAATTTGCTGGGGATAAAGGCTACTTAACAAAGGAGGACCTGAGAGTACTCATGGAAAAGGAGTTTCCTGAATTTTTGGAAAATCAAAAAAGACCCTTTACGCAGGGGACAAAAATAACGAAGGACCTGGATCAGTGCCAAGACAGCAGAGTGGGCTTCCAGAGCTTCTTTTTGCTAATTGTTGGGCTCACCATCACATGCACCGCCTATTTTGTAGTACACATGGAGCAGAAGGGAAGGAAGTAGGCAGCACCGAGCAGTTACTCCTGCCCTGGTAAGAGTTCTCCCAAAGGGTGTTTAAGGAATCTGTGCCCCACAGCTTGTCACCTGTATAAAAATTTCATGAGCAGATTGGGACCCTTAGAAAATGTACAAATAAAATCCCGCTCCATTTGACAAGAGAAGGAAAAGCCTATTAAAGCCAGGTAAGCTTTTGATTTTTATAGTGCTTGCAGTCTCGTGCCCTCCATAAACAAATTTCTTTAAAAAAAGAAATACCATTTGAATTATGCCTATGGACTGAGGCTTTCTCATGCTTCCCAGAGGAGGAAATGATAAGGAGTAGGGTGAGGTGAATGGACCTAGATTTCTGGCCTTGGCTTTGCTTGTTATACTTGGATAGAAGCCTCATGACTTGTGGAGATGGCTACCTCATCTCTTCATGTTTCACTTGTTTACTAGGATCACAGCTGGTAGCTAGCCTCCTTACTTACTGTTTCAGATGAATGGGTTGAACATTCCCTTCAACAAAGTGATAAGGAGAGTTAAGAGGCTATAGAATATGTTCACCTAAGGGAAAAAAAACAGATTTGGCCATGGAAATGCCTGAAATTTAAGCCTCTGTGTTAAGTAAACAGCCGAAGAACCAATTCAGCACCCTGCAGTATTTCTGACTCCCTGTTGGAGTTGAGGTTTTGACGTTGTGGTGGACCCAGGGAATTCACTGGACATCCTTAGAAACTCCTTCTAGTTAAAATAAAGAAGTAGAACCATCCTGGGTGGTTTTGAGCCACCTAGACCTGAGCCACTGGGGCTGGAAACCTGTGCCAGGGACAATCATGTAGTAGGACCCCCTCCCTCTGTCCGGACTTTTCCTCTTCCTCGTGAATATTTCAGTGCTGCTGAGACCCCTTAAGGTGATCATTTGAGTTAAAGCAGATATGAGGGGAAAGGAAAGAGCAGCCTCATTGCCTTACCTTATGATGGGGACTATATAAGGAGACGTTAGGGACTTATTGGCATATCCACCTGACTTCTGTTTTTCCTTTCTTCTTTTCTGTAAAGCTTGGCTGGCCAGGGCCACCTCCTTGTGCCCCCACTAGCTACCTCCCAGAGACACCGTCCAGTTGCCAGCACCCACTCACTACACAGCCCAGTAACTACTCTCCTCTCCCACCCTGACCCCAGCACTGCTCACTCAGTAACAGCTCGGGCCCCAGCACGGACATAAATGTCTTTCTCCCCCCTGAGTTTCCATCTCCTCCTTTCCCACTCCTGATTTCCAGGTATCTTTTGGTTCCTCTCCTTGTCTCTCTTGTTCAAGGGGGAACTAGTTAAGAGACTATTCCTTGGTCTCTACGCTGTCTTTTGTTTTTTTCCCTAAACCAAGATTCTTGGACCAAGAATAGAAAATCATGTTCCAATTCTAGTTCTCTTAGAGGCCCTAGTTTTGCCTGGGGGCTGTGTATCAGAAGGCTCCAGGTGTATCAATTATGCTGCCCATGCCTGTGTGCCGCCTCTTCAATCACTTGTGTCCCCTTGTTTGTGAAGCACAACAGGGTGTGCTTTCAGAAGGAGTCTTTCGTATCCCTAGAGCCTTAAAATATTTGCATGTCAATGTTGGGAATCCAGAGAGTCTCCTTCAAATGCACACTTCACGTAAGGAGGCATACAGACCATTGGGGTTTATTTAAAAATTAAATTTAAACCACTGTACCTTGGGTCTCTGTCCCACAGTGTTTCAGTGACAGGTGAGAAGGAGAGTGTGACATTGATCAAGGCCAAGCATTAAGTAACCACATTTCAAAATGAATACTAATTGCATAATGACAGCTTCCAAACTATTCGCCTACTTTACAAAAAAAGTTAATTCAACACAAGCCCAGGGCTGGCTGCTGCTTCTGTGTTGTGCTGCCAGTTGGCAGGCACAGCTTTGCAAAGGGATTGGGGGAGAGGAGGGCTATTGTAGTGGAAGCACACTTGGCCTTTTGTGAAGAGGGTACAAACTGCATCACTCTCTCAAGCCTTTGCTGTGCGGTGAGTGGATTCTAGGACACTGCATGCCTTCAGGGGAGGTTGCCTACTTTTCCTAGAGGTAAATGGCCCAGTCACGAGAGGCTTGGGGAAGAGCCTTGGGTTTGTAGTCCCTTGAAGGAAAGAGTTCTAGGCAAATGGAGGTGACAAGCACTGAGGAGCTGAACCTGGGCAGGTGTATGCTGCCCCGCAGGCGGGAAATTCTGGGCCCAAGGGAGGGCATGGCACAGAAGCTGGCCAGCCTGGGAGGACACTGCACGCTACCTCCAGCAGGCTGCTCCCTGCTGTGGGCCTGTGTGAAAATGAAGGGAGTGGAAACTGGATGATCGCAAAAGCCCCGTCGAGTTCAGAGAGACCACCAGGGTCTCTTCCTCTAAGCTGAGTACCCCCACCCCGACGAAGAAAGGCACTTTGCTTGGAAGAGTGGCATGAAAGGATGGGACTGGTTCCCTGTCATCACCATCCTTTTACGGAGGACTCATGAATGACTTTCTCATTGCAGCAACAAAAGGACCTTGCGTGAAAGTTCCTCGAAGGAAAAAATGCGAAGTGTCTGCCAAGAAAAGGAGTTGGAGGCAAGGGTTCATTCTCTTCGGGGCACGCTATTGCCTTGACCAGAGCACTAGGGAAGACCCTCAAATGAGTCCCCAAAAGAAATAATTTCATGCAGTATCCTTAGAAGGTACATGACAAGGGTTATGTTATGGTATCATTTGCCTCCAGAGAGTTGTCCACCAAGATTTGAGAACCCCTGGTCAGGCACCACTTTATACTACCTCCCCACCTCCATCAACAACAGGAGGGCCTGGGCTGTGGGATCGGGAAACACCAAGCTGATTACCAGTCAGGAAATTCAGGAAAGCACTTGCCATTTTGGCACCAATTATTTTACTGTGGTTTTCAGCAATTCTGGAGTCACACTGCCAGCACCAAACGACTGGGTGGGAAAACAGTATGTCCATTTTCAGAGTATGCCCACTTAGGTATAACACTCCATGATCAGAATTTAAATGTCTGATTCTTCTTCAAGACACCTCCTCGGACTGAACTCATTCCTCTATTTTTATACATTTACAGGAACTCTGTGTTTAAAAAGTCTCACACTTATTTCAAGGGAGACCCTTGCACTCTCAGCTAAACAATCATTTCTAGTCCCTTCCGCCCTTTCTTCTTTTCCCCTAAGTATTTGTAATGCAAATAATTGCTGCAATTTTGATTCTCAGGCATCTCTAGGTTAGATTACCAAAGTGCTGATTAGGTTTGTTTGAGACAACAAGATCCAGGTTAAATCAAACAACTTTATTTCCCAAAGACTTCATAGCGTCTCTGCTTAATTTGACCGTGAGTTACTATTGTGAAAGCTCCCTGTCATGTGTTCGTCAGTGTGAAACAACTTTAGAAAGAACACATCCAGGTTACTACCGTGAAAATGCTGGAAGTTCCCGCACTTCTCCTGAGAGTGTTTTTGCTGATAAGACAGTTTCTAACAATTTTTAATAAATCAAAATAATTTCCTTAAACTAGAATAATTAATTTCTGATCTATGCCTTAGGGATATTTGAAATGCACTTCAAGAGGAATGTTCTTTGTGGCATTATTTTGAAAGACCCTCCTTTTTAACCTAGGGCTGAGGGGAACCATATGCAAATGTTTTTGCATATTTCGCCCACCCCCAT